AAAAAAAAAAAAAAAAAAAAAAAAAAAAAAAAAAAAAAAAAAAAAAAAAAAAAAAAAAAAAAAAAAAAAAAAAAAAAAAAAAAAAAAACCATAACGAGTACATGAAATATCTGGAATTATGTCAGGACGGCTAAAATAAAAAGGGGTCCCCTTAGCCCCCGAGCCTCCTCCTCCTACTGGTTGCGTCTATGGCAACAACAACTATCCACTTGCAAACGTGCAAACCTTTGAAGCTAAAATTACTTGTAAGAGAGCCCGGAGTATAGTATAATTAGATGTACCATGATAGCCACCAAGACCTGAGCACACACACACACACACACACACACACACAATTGTACACTATTATAATTTTTAATAATTATACAAAACTATCATTTTTATTCACTTTGGAAAATTGTCTACAATAAATCATTAAAAGCCATCGATATTCGGATTGTCGAAAGGCGGTTCGAAACAACTGGCATAGCCCCGTGTACAGGATTTTTCAAAGGAGGCAACCATCAAAGGCATACCGTTGATCATTATTTTTAGCCGACAACTCCGAAAGAAAAGATCTGAAACAAACAGCGTGCACCTCTATCACTATATGAAACGTGTCACCATCGATGAACGCCGAATTATTGTAAGTAAATATTTTAATTAAATTTGTTACATAGACGTTGTTATAAATACGAAATGATTAAAATTCATATGACAATAATTGAAACCGACTGGGGTTTTCAACTATTTCATTTTTTAAATGTGAAATACAAATATTATATAAATTGTGAATCTCTCTACACCGTTTCATTTTTTATGTGTTGTCATATTTACGTATTCACATATTTATATTATATATATGTTTTCAGTTGTAGACTATTATGGCTTAACAATTAAAATATTAGGGATACATATTATGTAACGACATTACTGATTGTAAAATTAGTAATAGCAATAAAGATATAGTAATAATATAGATAATAGAGCATATTGCAAACAATCAAGATGTATAAGCACAAAAGATAATTAATATTGATAGGTTTATATTATATATATTTGTTATTATTATGTTGCCATTTATTTTATTCAGTTCTTATACACATTGGAATATTACATGTGTTCGCATTGATTGCCACGGTTAAGTTTATACATTATATTTATGATATATGATTGAAGTACTGTTACATCAGCCACTATGCGAAGCACAATTATTATATTAGACTAACTGACCTGGTAATGATTCGCTATTGCAAGATTTCTCAGGTGTTAATTTTGTTATTTATTTTCTGGATGTTAAATAATTATTTTTATTTTAGACCACTTTAAGTCGTTTATCCGCGGTAATGTAATCTTAGAAATATAACGTCTGCACCAGTCGCCATCGCGGATTCTCCATAATGTTGAAAAAAAAATTATAATGCCTGTGTCAATAGGAAAATTGATGCTTATTCCAAATAAAATTAACGTTTGTGCATGAAAATTGTGTAGGTATGGTAGTGAGTGGGAATGCCAGACAACCTGTGCGCACAAAACCTTCCTCGATTAACAGGATACATTTGTATTTAAATTTTTAATACGAATATTCGGTAAACATGTTGTTGGTGTATACGCGGTGCGCTCGATTATTTTCACTGATAAACTTCTCAGAACAATTCATATCTACATTCTAATATCAAACACAATTTAATTTAACGAACAAAAACATCGGGTTACAGGTAGCTGTAAGCCCATGAGCCGCCGTGCTGTAGCGCCACACAATATGATATATTATATGAAGATGTACAATATACACGTTTATTTTTATTGATAATAACCAATTATTAATTAACTCTATCGTACTAAATGTGTGCCTAAAATCTGCTGTGTGATGCCCCTTTAATTTAAAAAAAAATTGCACGACGATTGAATAAGTAGTTTCGGAGTTTATCCCGACTTCATTTTATACCATGTATTGACGATGATACAGCCACGAGCCTTAACCACGTAGCGGCTGGCCAATCTGGACAATTCCCTGGAATGCCAAAAATCGTAAGAAATTACAATTTTTTCAGTAATTATTTTTTTTTTTTATTAGAAACAGTTACGTCTTACAATGCATGTATTATTCGCATAATTATAACTATATTATTTATGTAATTTATATATTTTAATAATTTAAAAATGTATTATAAAATCGTGTTAAGGGTGTTCTAGCGTATCATGTTTTAAGGGGCAATATTTAGGCAATTCATATGACAAGTACATTTGGGCGATATCTATGTGTGAGTAGTAAATGAATATTAGTGTGTATTTCCGAGAATCGAGATCACGCCATGACTAAATAAATAGGTATGATCACAACTTTGTGATACGCATACCACCCCTTACCTCGTCTATCGCGTAGTTCTCCGCTTCTGATTGGTTGTTAATTTATCTCGTTTTTAACTATTTTGTTTGCTAGTTTTGAATTTTTGATAGACAAGACAATAGTACAATACTACATTACTACAAAAGTACAAAATATATTATAGACTATACTACTATAGTACTAAATACAAATTGCAATGTATTTAAATATTATTTACAATTCATAAGACTTAAGTTCATATTCTTATAACAATTAATACTTAAACTAATTTTTATTTTTATTTATTGTTATTTACATATGTACATAGGTTAATATAGGTGTACATAATTATTAAAGTATTATTAATTTGTAAATTTAATTTTTTTCAGTTTGTCTGATTGTTTTTGTTGTTTTGTGATTAATTGTTTATTTAAATTATTTAATCTGATATATGTTCGTGTTCTAATAAGGCAGTGTAATACTTCATCAGGTACATTAAGTTTCTCAATTTTCGGTTTTGTGATCTCATATAATGTTTTAAAAACATATGGGGATTTTGATAAACTTTCACCGTGTAGTATTTTAAATTCACGTTCTATTTGCAAAACAGCTTTAAAAAGATTTTCTGATGGTATTGTCAAATGCCCTTTAGAAATGTAGGTTGTCCAGTTATTTGTATCATTACAATTTATTTTTGATAAATAGGGATATTTATTTGAGTATCGATTTGCAACATAACCAGCAACGTATTGAGCACACCCTTCTTCAATATCATTGAATACTGGTTTTTCACAATTTTCATTATCAATCTAAAACAATACATAAGCCATGTTAAAGTAATAAAAATTTAAACTAAGAACCTAGGTACCTATTACAAAAGGGAAAGTGAAGTATTTATAAAATTACTTCAAATTGTTTTTGTAGCTGAAAATCAGATTCTGGAACAGTAATTACATTCCCTTCAATGTTGGCTTCGTTGTTAGCATGAATGGAAGAATCATTAAAAGATGATAATAATATTTGGGCAGTAAAACAATCATTTTCACCCAACAATTTATTTTCCATACTACATTGTGTATTAGTGTTTTCAGTGAATATAATATTGGAATGCTTGCCTAATATGTACCATCTTAGGCTATAAATTATAACGCATAACAAATTAATTACATAATTACATAATTAATTACATATTAGTCATATAATAACATTAATTAAAATTTTGTTCTATTTAAAAATCACCAATATTTGAAATCTAAAGATGTGATGTTATTACAAGCACTTCCAGCCATGCCCTTCAAGAAACTAAACAAATTTTCCAGGCCATCTGTATTTAATTTCCTGGTTAAAATGTATTCTAATGCATACTGTTTTTTTAAATCAAGTAACAATTTTTTCAAAGATGTATTGCATATAATTATTCCTATTGACAATGATGCTTTGATTAATAATATTTAATAAAACAAAATGTATTATTTATTTTAAATGATATGAAATGTTTGTATATTATTACCCTTTTGAAAAGGTAGTAATGATCTTTTACCATGCACTCTCATTGATTCAATGAACTCTGTCATCCTGTCAAGTAATTCATTTTGTACGTTTTCATTTAAACCATAACTTGGTACCCCATTGTCATATTTATGTTGGGTGTTAAAGAGGTCGAACCAGTCATTGAACAATAAAACTACTTGTGATGCCTGTTATTTAAATGTAAACAATTTTGTTATTAACACAAGTAAGTGGAAAAATAATACTTGCTTCTTCCCAGTTTAAATTGTTCATATAATGTCTTTCTCCACAGAAGGAAATAGCTTTAGCAACTGTGTTGGAAAAAATTTGTGCTGCCAATTTCACATTCATACGACCAGTTCCTTGTACAGTTAGATGCCTTTCACCGAGTTTATATGCTAACTTATAGTCATGTCCAGTATTTAAATTTAATAACAATTCAAAAATATTTTTCCCAATAAAATGTCCATTTCTGAGTATATATCCTCTACAAAATATAATATTTTAATAATTTTCAATTTATACAATAAAAAATGAAGTGTGAACTACTCACTTATCCAATAAGTGATTACGAGCCAACTTCAACAAATGTGGAGGATCCGCAAAAACATATACATTACTTCTAGTTATAGGATGTTCAAAAGAAGTCTTTTCTGTCGACACATCTAAACTTTTCCATAAACCGACATTGGAAGACCCCATGTCACTCACCATTGAAAGTACATTGAATCCAATACTGTATAACTTCTCAATTATATAATATAATAGCTCTTTTGTTACTTTTGTATCAAAGTCATAAAATATTGGTTGCTTCCAATCGCTTACTAAACCTTTTCATATAATTTTGCTCAAACATATAATATATCAACTATTATACAAAATAAAATAATAAAAAAAGTAAGTACCTCTAGCCATTACAGTTTGCACACATTTGTGTGGTCCAATCACCCGTTCATTTTTTTTCTCGAAACAAATTCTACTTGAGACATATGTTTCATCAAAACTAATGACTGTTAATTTATCAAAAGTACTCATAAGTTCAGCTATTAAACATAATTAAGTTTGTTTGAACATTTATAAAATTATGATATAGCTCAATAAAAATTAAAAATATACACCTTTTGCTTTCATGAGAAATAAAACAGATGTCAAAATACCCTCTTCAATTGAAAAATTAGAAACCCATCTTCTGAGTGTGGATAGAGCTATAACATAATTGGACCATTGGTTTATATTTAGAAAAGTGAAAATAAAATATATAGCTCAATGAATAATTTCACCTGGCAATGGGAATTTTTTTTTTATCATGTAGCGATATGATTTTGGAGAAATGCTCCTTAAAGTAATTGCTGACGATATATCTTCGGGTGTCCAACGGTATACTTTTTTTTTAGGATTTAGTATTAAATCAATTTGGGTTGGTGTGAAAAGTTTTGATAAAATTTCACCAAATTTACTTTCAAAGCGATTACATTCTGTATCAATAAAATCCTGGTACCATTTATTTTTAATTAGAAGACATTCATTTTCTTCTTTCAGTTTTTGAACATCATCTTTTAATCTAATATTATAATAAATTACACAATTTTAAGTAATATACATTTTTTTATTGATATCAATACACCACTTATTGGTTAATTCAGTTAATTACACACAAGTATGTTTTCTTAATTGATCTAAGTAACTAACATGTAAATAACTAACATATAAATATCTAACATATAAATATCTAACATATAAATAACTAACACATATATTAATAATAACAATAACAATAATAGTAATTAGTAATAACAATAACTACAGTCTATAACAATAATATTTAGGTATCATGATGATCCAATATCTTCCATATGATCCAATACTTTACAAGACTGGATAAATTGATCTGACACAGTTTCACATGCAAACAATAAATAAACAAAAATATTAGAAAACCTATAAACTAAATTGTATTACTTTTATACCTAGTCTATGGTCTAGGTCTATAGGTCTATGGAATAATTTTTAATTGGGTATTATTAATTTTTACTTATACTAATTGATTGATTTTATGTTATTATTCTTACCTTAAAATCAAATCATCATCACTTGTAAGAGGCTTAACACCCAGACCTAAATCATGTTCATCATTAAATAATCTAACACAGCATTTTTTTGATGTTTCTGATATGTTTTCAGCAGGCAAAATTTCTCTAAACATTTAATTATAATTTAATAAAATATAAATTATGTTTAATATAAATATTCATACACAGAAAACCTTCCAGCTGGAGTCCATAATTCTGTCGAAACAGGAGTACCAGGAGTAAATGTTCTGCGTATAGGCAAGTCATAGAAATCTACTCCATAAGAACTTTAAAAATGAAAATGTTTTTAAACAATAAATAGGTATTACAGATTATATTAAATACAATACATCCATTACTATACTTAGTACTTACTTCAAAGGTATTGCATCATCTTTAAGTAAACGAGCATAGTTTTTATTGGTAGAATGTTTTTTTGAAAGATTATAATGATACGGTTTGAAATGTAATGAGCAAACTACAGCTAAATAATAATGAAAAATAATTTTATTTACTTGAAAGTTGAAGGTATAGTAAATAGAAGTGAATAAAAAACCATACCAGAATCAAAATTGATTTTATCTTTGTTAATTTGTTTTTGCCACAACAACCTCATTTATTTAGTCATGGATCACGCCACGCCGGGCAATCGCCGCCGGATGCAACTTTAGCACGAGTACGCAAATGTCTTATTATCGTGAAAAATGAAATGTATTCTTGTTTTGCATAACTATAAGAACTACTAGCGATAGTAAATGAAACATCCTTCTTGAAATTCGATCGTAATTTTAAAGAAATAGTTGAATTTATAAGTTCTTAAGACTATTTAGGAATCGCTCTTTAAGTGCTTAAAAAAAAAACCCAACTAGAAATTAAATGCTATTATTTAATGGGATCTAAACTGTTTTTAGTTACACAATAGTTCCTGTACAACATAATACCGACAATTTAAAATTTTTAACACTTACTTATTGATATGCTATTTTGTTACATACTCTTATTTGAAGTAAATTATGATTTTAGTAATTTTATTGTAATTTGGTTCCAAAAATTCCAAATTTTATACTAGTACATATTATAGTATTTTTCCAGCATCACTCACAATTTAAGAATAATGTTATGAAAAATATTAATTCAACTTACCGGCTACCGTATTAATAATAAGTAATAACAATATAAAATATCATATGCTGACATCCGTCTCCGCTCAGAATCTTTTTTCCTATACAATGAAATTATATCATTGAGTTCAAATTTAATACCATCCATTACAGCGACCTTCTAGACACCTATAATGTACAGCAGAGCGACATCCCTTTATCCACTTTTTTTAGGTTGACGTTTAACTATTATTACTATAGTAAAATATCATCAATTTTATGTTTTTAAATTATAAAATATTTACCAATAAAATATTTACCAATAAAAATTAAAACAATTTTGGTCATTACTATTGATTTAAGTTTTAATATTAAATATTAATTATTTATAATTTATAACGTGACGTATTTACATTTGTAGCACCCCACGTTTTAGAGATTTAGTTGGGCCTATGATTTGTACGTCAATATATTAAAATGATGCATATTGCATATAACAATAATTAGTTTTGGTATACAATATATTTACCTATACAAAATAAGTCAAAGTTTATCTTTAGGAGCATTTTTGTCATTACTGAAATAATTAATTTCACCTATTACCCTTTATATGCTGTATCCGTATTGATAATAATTTAAGCACTTGACTGTAAAATATAATATAATATGTACTTTAGTAAATACCTATACCCAGAGGCTTATCCATTGGATTTATTTTATCAATAATTTTATAATAAGAAAACACTGTCCCCTCCATTTATAAGTTTGTAAAAGTGTTAATTAATAGTAAGCATTAATATTTAATGTTATTTAATTGAGGAGATCAACTGCATATGATCGTCAATCACTGACAGAGTTTAGTAATAAATTATTATAGTTACTAAACTCTTAATAAATTGTTTTTAGTTATTTTAAATTATTTTAACTTTTTTTAATTCACCGATTACAAACATAAATATTTAAAATATAAGGTGAGTACATTTTTGACTTTGTGAATTTAAAATTAAAATGATGTAATTTTGTATTATATTTATCATATATATGCTGATAATATTAAACTATAGAGTACTTAATAAGTAGAGAGAAGTTTATCTTATCATCATTTCCTGTAATATTATTTAATTTGATTTTTAAATAATATTTACTACACATTTACACAATGCAACTACTTTTGTAAATTCTTATTACTTACCGACGTGAAGTTATACTCTTTATGCCTTAAAAATTATACATCACTATGTTTGTATCATAAAATAAAATATTAATAGTTTAAAAATTTAAAAATAAATCCCGTTTTTTATTTATTTTAAAAGGTATTTAAATTATCATTTTCTGATCGAAGAAATAAATTTATTTTTTTGGAAAAGTTTTATGCTTTTTTATTAAAAAAATGTGTGTATAGAACATTACTTTTTGATTTTTGTAATATATTTTTCTTGTGTAAAAAGTAAAAGTAAAACACTTAAAAATAAACGAAGTCACCTCAGTGCACGTATGTAATTCGTACCTCGTACCACCACGTATCTAATTTATGTTATTTTGCTGTAATTTAAAAATTACTGCTTAAGATTTAAAATAAATTACTTTAATCACAATAACATCGTCAAATATATTAAATTACTCAGTAATATTATATGCTAACAAACCGCCTTCGATTATAATCATACAGCCACCCACTTATAGCCTACTGGTGGTCACCCATCCGAGTGCTAGTCACGACAGCCGGTATACGTGCTCTCGGAGCGTTTCTGTAGATTGAAGGTACGGTTGCGCCTCACTGGGTCACTTCTTTATTCTAGGCCATAAACGCTTCGATTTGATTTATGCTTTTACCTCATTTGCCGATTAACGGAGTAATCAAAGGCAACTACTTATACACTAAAAATGATCGATTTTTACCGTAAATCTCATAATCCTTGCGTGAACACATCGTAAGGGCAAAATTTTCAATTTTTCATTAAGTAAAAACATCAATCAGACTATTATGAACTTAAAAAAAAAATAAGCCAAATCAGACCATCCTTTTTCAAGTGAGTGGATACTAAAAGACAGTATTTCATGTTTAGAACATCTTATATCTTCGTTGTGTTCATCCGTCAATCAGTTACGATTGTTGATATACATTAATGATTTTTATTTATTTATTGCCAGTAAATAATTATGAATTATGATTGTTGATTTTTATTAATTAATTGTCCATGTAGTTGCTGTACCATACATTGTATGGAATTTTAAGTTACTGTGTTGTATTAAAGAACGTTTAGAAAATGGGATTTTTGTACTCTCGCAGAGTGAACTTTTCTTTCATGTTATTATATAAATTAAAAATGAATGTGTGCATGACTTGTTTCAAGTCTTACTTAACAAATTTAATGTTAGATGTGTTGTCGTTTACTAAGTTTTTAAAAAGGTGTATAGGTACATAATAATATATTTCGACTGAATATGGCTGAAGATTAGGTTAGGTTTTTGGTATTATTATTTATTTTTATAAAATATACTAAAATACCTATAAATACATGTGGTTTGACAGTTTTTTTAAATCTCAAATCCTCAAACCTTCCCCATAATCCATTAACTAAAAGAGATTTATTTAAAATATAATTCTCTGGTTCCAGAAATAATTATATATTTTTGAAAAATTCTTTATGGTCTTAGATTCTGAGTGGAGAGATGAATTTATTGATTTTACAATGTTTTTTTATTTTAGAAATTCATAAAAATATTTTTTTCATAAAAAGTTCAATAGAAGATGCCTCTAAGTTGTTCTACCTTTACCAAAAAAAAAAAAATTGCTGGAAAATTATTTACAGACTTTATTAAATTTGATTATTTATCCAAAACAATACTAACAGTTTATTTTGTTGTTTTTCAGTTTCCGGCTTCCATAATACATCTAAATGTTAACCTACATAGATTTCCACTTAATCTACACTCTTCCGATTGTTGGCTTATTATTATTAATCACCCGACCATTCATCAACCGCTCGGAAATTTTTAAAATTGCATTAATAAGTGCCATAGCTTTTGTATATGTTAAGGTGAATGACAACATTTGGTGAATGTTGACATTCACCGGTGAATGTTAACATTCACTGCTGTTTTTGGCGAATGTTAACATTTTGAATGAATATTAAAAATTTACCAACAGTCATCGGTGAATGTTAACATTCACAACGATTATCGGTGAGTGTTGACATTCACAATTGAATTTTGGTGAATGTTTAGTTAAGATTGGAGTATAGATGTTCAACGATTGGTGTGTGGTGTATCGTGTCATACGTAAAGATTGTGAATATTTATAGATATGATATTGTTCACACAATAGCTGAAGAGAAAATAATGTTTGAGTAGAAATGTATAATAATTTAATCGTACGGTGTTTAATGATCTATATTCTATAAATTATAATCTATATAATATTATCAGAGATGCATTTAACGTTACGGTATCTGTCTGTCTACCTGTACCCACTACCTATCTCTCTCTCTAACGTAGCTTTTACTTAATTGCGTAATTGGCGATACGTCCGTCATTGAAATATCAAATTAATCGAAAATATCGAAAACCATGGAAAATACGTTTATACGTTTATATCGACCAGTGTCGATGTATTTGTCTTGCTTACACGTACGGAAAGGCAAACTGTTGTGAATCGTGATTGAATTTGTGCTACGTTCGAGTTACTAATTGTTCAGTGTTCACATGTATAATGGAGAACATACGAGATATTTTTTACGAAAAATTTAACGCTATGTTAAGTACAAAAAGAGAAGATAACAATTTTTATTTGAGTACTGAAAAATATGACAAATGTGTTGAAGACGTTCTCAAGTTTAAGGGGAAAGAAAGTAAGCAACGCGCCGTGTGCAAGTTATTGAAAAGATATGATGTCGTTAAAATAATGTCTCTCGACCAACTTATTGTTCCATTGAAACCTGGCGAAACAAAAATAATTTACTTCGTGAAAAATGAAGATTTATTCGATATTATCCATGATGCCCATATCAAAACAGGCCACGGAGGACGAACCCGTGTAATTAGTGAATTACAAACAAAATATAAAAATATAACTTATGAATCATTTACATTATTTTTGAGCTTGTGTGTTCAATGTCAAAGGAAACAAAAAGTCCCGAGGAAAGGGATCGTCGTAAAGCCCATTATAAGTCGTGAACTCAACTCTCGATGTCAAGTTGATTTAGTCGATATGCAAACGTGTAAAGATGGTGAGTACAAATTCATTCTCAATTATCAAGACCATCTCACTAAATTTATACAGCTTAGACCATTGAAGAGCAAGACAGCAGAGGAAGTAGCCCTCACGTTGCTGCCAATTTTCCTCACTTTCGGTGCACCTAATATTCTGCATTCCGATAATGGGAGAGAGTTTTCCAATAAAATTATTATGGATTTGTGCTCGAGGTGGGAGGGTGTAAAAATTGTTCACGGTAAACCTCGTCATAGTCAATGTCAAGGTTCCATCGAAAGAGCCAATCAGGATTTTCAAAACATACTCAGGGCCATGATGCACGATAAGAATACAACAAAATGGTCAGAAGCTTTACCATTTGTTCAATTCGCAAAAAACACTGCTTATCATCAAGGAATAAAACAGACACCGTATGAGGCAATGTTTGGTAACGTTGCTAAAAGAGGCCTAGCAACAAGTTCATTGCCACGAGAACAAATAAAAGACATTGAGACCGAAGAGCAGCTTGAACAAATTATACAGTCAATAGGTGAGTACCCACAAATGTAATATACAAAATAAAATTATATAGATAATAAATTAAAATATTATTATTAGATGATGATAACACTGAGCAAGTGGAACAAAATGGCAATGATATACAACCAGAAAGAGTATTAGGTAAACTCTATTTATAATAAATAAATAATTAAATAGGTACAATAACAATACTTAAATATATTTTATCATAATATCTGGTTTAATAAGTTGGTTGCTAAAATTATCCGTTAGATGGCAGAACTATTTAAAATAGAAAAAAAATGTATAAACAGTAAAATGATAAATTTTATTCAATTCTATTCAGAAAAATCTAGTGCTTCAAATGGTTAATAAATAATTTATAATTTATCAATTTTCCAGCTAATGAGATCCATAATTATGACACTGAGCAGGTGGAACATAATGTTGAGCAAACTGAATTAGATCATGAAATAAAAAAAAAAAAAAAAAACATGATTCAAAATAGAGCAGCAGCAAGAATGGGACTTGAATTACAAGCTGAAAGAATGCTTCGTTCATCAAAACAAAAGTTTACACCAGCTAAACCTGGTGATACTGTTCGACAAAGTTTCAATTACGAATAAAGATTAATATATAATTAAATTCTCTTTTATGATAAAGAATACATTTAATGGCAATACATTTAATAAATTACGGATAAAACAACGAAATTAGTAATTACCACAATTCATGAACGATATATTAATTGGATACAAATAATAATATGTTCTTTGTCATTGAGATAAAGTATTTTTAACGAGTGTTTAAAATAAAATTAACAGTTTATTTTGTTTTTTTCAGTTTCCGGCTTTCGTAGTACCTACATCCAAATGTTAACCTACGTAGACTTCCACTTAATCTACACACTTCCAGTTATCGGCTTATTATTATTAATCACCCGACCATTCATCAACCGCTCGGAAATTTTTAAAATTGCATTTATATGTGTCATAGCTTTTGTATACACAACACCATGGGACAACTATATCATCTACAGAGGTGCCTGGATGTATCCGCCAGAAAGAATCTTAGCTTTTATTGGATTGGTACCTATTGAAGAATACATGTTTTTTATTATACAAACTCTTTTGACATCCCTGTGGACTTTGCTCTGTGTCCGATGGTCAACTCCGTGCTTAAATTTCAACTATGACAAACGCAGCTACCAATTGATTCGATGGGTACCAATCGCGTTTTTGACCGTGGTTACGATCGTAGGCTATAAAATAGCTATTCCCGGACAAGCGACGTTTTACTTGGGATGCATACTATGGTGGGTATCTCCGGTAATTATGTTCCTATGGTATGGAGCTGGAAATTTTTTTGTGAAAAAAATAATACCGTCAACTATTGCGATAGTGGTCCCTACGTTGTACTTGTGTTGGATTGATCAAGTGGCCCTGAAGGAAAACGTTTGGATTATCAACGAAAAGACTAGTTTAAATATATTCGCTATCGAAGACTTGCCAATAGAAGAAGCATTTTTTTTCTTAATTGTAAACGTAATCATTGTTTTGGCTGTGACTTGCTTCGATAAAGCTCGCGGTGTAATGGAAACTTATACGTTGGAGTACCCACTACGATTCTGCATGAGTTGGGAGTTTATTTGTCAAATGTTTTGGGCATTTGCGACATCAGAATGTAATATGCAGCAAAGCGTCACGAGAGATATAAAAGAAAGTATTGATATTCTTACAGTCGCTTCAAAATCATTCACCACTGCCAGTTTTCTTTTTCAATCCGGTAAGAATTTTAAGGGACCAATAAAATCAAATTCTTATAGGATGAGAGGCTAAAGAACCCTAAATCATTTGTGAAAACAGGAACGTAAGTGGCTGGTTCCTACGTCCCTCTGAACAGTGAACAGTATAAATAGTATATATATATTATGCATACGGTACATCATTGTAAAATCAATGCATTCATCGCTCCGCTCAGAATCTGAAATGAATCATAGTACAAAATGTAAAAATCATTTAAATTTGTTTCTAAATTATTCTAAATATTTTGAAGATTTTTGAGTATGGAAAATTATACTTGACTTATGATAAACTATGTTAACTAAAGTAAGTTAACCTAACTACAAAATAATTTTCGAATTTTCGCTTTTTTAACGAATTTTTTGAAGTTCTGACTACAAACACTTAAAAATAAATACTGTAGATTTACGATATTACATTTTATAACCAATTGAAAACGATTTACTGTAATAATTCAAAGGAATTCTTAAAAAATGCCTTTTGTTATTTAGCATAATTTAAAAATATTACTTGTGAGTTGTGGGAATTCGAAACTTTTACGTGTAAAATTAAAATTTGTACACACAATGGCATTTCTATTTGCAATATTTTTGTGAAAAATTAATTCAACTTACCTTATTATACTAATATGATAGTAAATTATTTTGATAGCAATATACATGTATCACATAAAAAATATACTAGATAATATAGGCTGACAGTGTACTGTATTCGGTTAGAATCGTTTTTTGTATGTAATACGTATTGACAAGGTACACTTGAATGTATCAATTAGGTTAATAACTGTCAGAAAATATATGAAAATTAAAAATTGAAGACATTTTTGGGCTAAAAAAAGTGTCTGGCAAAAACAATTTTTTAAAAAGGCAAATAAAAATTCGTCAAAATTGTAAATATTATAATCATCGCTCCTCTCGGAATGTAAAAAAGAAAAAAAATAATACCTGATTTATATTAAATAATGATAAAAATTAATTGATGAAGCTTTTTGTTCATTTTGCATTAATTATATATTATTATTTTTTGTAGTTATGAGTTAACTGAATGGATTGTAAATTGTATTAAATATTATATTCATTTGATTAAGTTTTAAATTATATAAATAGGTATAAATATAATGTGTTTTCTAATGAGATATATTTTTAATTTAGGAATTCGATTGGATTTAATAATTTTATATTCGTTTTGTCGTGTAACGGATGACATGATTGACGACGAGGTGGATGTCAAAAAGAAAAAACGTAAGTTTGAGTTAACTGAAAAATTTATCAACGAATTATTTCATGAAAGAAAATCAGATTACGATGTTCAAACAAAACCACAGAAATTGAATATTGATTGGACAAAATACGAATCTGAATTGACCGACGCGGAGATGGCGTGTTTCCGGGCATTGTCTAGAATAGCTTTTTATTTGCCTCGTAAGCCATTCGATGAGTTGCTCGAAGGTTACAAATGGGATATTGAGGGTAGGTTAGTCAGAAATGAAGACGATTTGTTATTATATTCCACCTATGTAGCCGGAAGTGTCGGTGCATTATGTGTTTATGTGATGATGTACAGGTGTGATAACGGCAAGTATGATCTTGTCGAGTACTACAATTATGTCATAGAAAAAGCATATCAAATGGGACGAGTGAGTAAACAGTTTTTGCCATACAGGTTTTTTAGTTACATAACAATTGTATTAAATATCATAAATTATTTTTTTAAGTCTTTACAACTTGTGAACATTGCCCGTGATATCGTCACCGACAGCGAAACATTGGGTCGATGCTATATACCCACCGAATATATGGACGACGAAGAGGAAGAAGTAAGGATCTTGTGCCATGAAAAGCAACCGCGGTCTCTAGGTGATAAGAAGTTAAAAAAATATTCCACACGGCTGATCCATCTATCCAACAAACATCAATTAGATTCATTGGCTGCTATCAGGTGTTTGCCGTACGTCACAAGAGGTTCAGTTCTAGCAACCACTGATATTTATCGAGGGCTTGTTTCTGCTATCGAGTCGAGTCCAACTTATCCGACTAGAGCTTCATTGTCGAAATGGAATAAAATTGCAATAGGACTTTATTCCTTATACATTAAAAGTATTCAATACTTTGTATAGTTTGATTTAAATCTATACACTATGTTTAATCACAATGCATAACTCACGACTTTGCATTCAGGGTACTTATATACTAAAATAATTGATAAGATCCAACAATGTAACTAAATTATTTTTTTGTATTTGTTTCCCTAATAGTCTATAGCTAAATTCTAATAATCATATTAATTATTGGAATGTAATTAGTTGAATCGCTAAATGCAGAAAGGACACATGTCCAATATTTTACAAAAATCACTTTATTGCATAATCGAATTTAATATTGATAAATACATGGTTTTGTGCAGACAAGACACATGTCCTATTAAATTGATCCCCGTTAAAAATAATTTAAAATTTCGTTAATTGCAGAAAAGGCACATGTCCTGGACATGTAACCTTTTTGCATCAAAATTATACTTTAGTAATATTTTCAGAACTAAACCTCGTGAAATCACTTAATTGTATGACATGTAATATTGTTCTATTTATAAATTTAATTTTTTACAATTGTTTATCAGTAAATAAAGATTATAATGGTGAAAACGTTGCTATACCTACTTATAAAATAAAATGATTATCAGTGAATAAAATATATTGTACTGGTTGAAACGTCGTAGTCGTGTACAAACGATCATTACGTGTATAACTTTAAAAATGAGTTCAGACGACGAGTGTATTAGTCCTCTCAAAAGAAAAAAAGGTGTTTCTAACAGTGATAAATATAAAAGAAATATTATTAAGCAAGCAAAAATCGAAGGAAAAAAACATACAAACTGGATTGGAAAAATAGTTGCTGCAAAGAATGATCCTTCATTAATACTTAAAGAATGGTAATTATATAATATCTAGTTGGTTTTGTTCGCTATTAATAAGTAGTAGCTTTTATATTTTTACATTAATATTTTCGATTTAAAGTTGTTCAAAAAAATGTCTCAAAGACATTCAACAAAAAAAACTTGAAGATATAATGAAAATGTTTTATGAGTTGCATTCTAAAAATGAACAAGACCTTCATCTTCAACGAACAATAGAAATAAAAGAAATTACAAGAAAACGAAAACGAATAGAAACAGAAGAAGGAAAAGAAAAACCGAAATCCAAAAGTGTTCAGTATTTTTTAATAGTAGATGGACAGCGTATTCAAGTATGTAAGAAAGCTTTCATTAACGTTTATAATATTTCTAATAAAAAAATTAGACGGCTGGTCGATTTGTTAGAAAATAATATTACCCCAGTTGATATGAGAGGCAAAAATATTAGTGCTAATACTATGCCATATGAGTATTGTCAAAAAATACATGAACATATACTAAGTTTTCCAACTAAAGATACTCATTACACAACACGATTGAAAAAATATTTAGACCCTAAATTAAATGTTAAAACTATGCACACAATGTTCATAAAAAAGTATCCAGAGTTAGAAGCGAAAATAAAATATCAATATTATTGGGAGTATTTTAAGAATAATTTTTCATTAAGCTTTGGTGCTCCAGTCAAAGATGCTTGTTCAAAATGCGAAGAATTAAATACAAAAATAATGAGTAAAGATTTAAATGATGTTGCAAAAAGAGTTGCTGCTGCGGAATTATTAGTTCATAAACATAGAAGCAAACAATTTTATAATAATATTAAAAAAACAATAGAGATTTCTCAACAGAATAAAAAAGTGTTAGGTCTTTGCTTTGATTTTATGGCTGTAGTTGACTTACCTAAAATACCGGTGCAGGAAGTATATTATTATCGTCAATTATCTGTCAATACTTTTGGTATTCATAATTTAAACACGAATAATTTATTTTGTTATGTTTATCATGAGGCAACAGCAAGAAAAACGCCAAATGATGTATGCTCTTTTTTGGTTCACTATATTAATAGTTTTGTTGATAATGATGTTGAGGAATTGCATTTGTTTTGTGACAATTGTGCTGGGCAAAACAAAAACCACGCATTACTTAGAATGATTATGGCTCTAGTTGAAATTAAAAAATTCAAAAAAGTTCAGGTTTTTTTTCCACAAAGAGGACACTCGTTTTTGCCGTGTGATCGTGACTTTGCATTGATAAAAAAACAACTTAACAGAGTCGATCGTCTATACACTTTAGAAGACTATATAGAAATTATTTTAAAATCATCAAGAAACCCAGAAAAATTTTCAGTGTTTCTAGTTGATAAAAGTATGATTTATGACTATCAAATGTGGTTTTCACAATTTTATATTAAAAATACTAACGCGTTAGAATGTTTAAGCCGTAATAAAACATCGAAACAACGTCGTACAATAGACAAATTTTTAATTTCTAAGTACCATTATTTTGAATGTGTATCGGAAAAATGTGGAATAATTAAGGCAAGTGAACTTATTGATGGAATAATATCAAACCATTTCAAATTAAGAAAAAACAATGCAATGCCCATACAACTCCCAAAAACACTAGTTTATACTTCAAGCTTACCAATTCTTGAAAGCAAAATGAAAGATTTGAAGCAACTAGCGAAGTATATTCCAGAGCCAGCATTGCAATCATTTTGGAATTGTATATTTTCGTTACAAACTGAGACACCTCAAGCAAGGCAAAGTAGAACATAAGATATTTATATAATTAAATTTCTAATTATTAAAAAGATATCGAATATTTGTGACTCAATATTAGTATATAATCTACCGTATATTATTTAATCATGTAATTTTAATTTTTATGCATATTAAAGCTACTTATTTATAAGAAAACGGTTATTTTCGAAATATAAATGGTAATTTGAAGCATAAACGGCACATGTCCACAACCTTAAAGTCCTTCAGATACCTACAGTTTAATTATACTTCTTTAAGTGATTGTAGAAACATGTATACCATGTCTTAAACTATATTATTCTATAACATACAATTTGTAAATCAATTTTTTTCAAATATATTAAGTTTTTTGTGTTTCCTGAAAAATTTTAAAACTTGGACATGTGTCCTTTCTGCATTTAGCGATTCAGTTACAAACACCAATATCAAATATCATTTAATTCAGAATTAATTTTATGATGAATAAAAATATAATTAAAAGTATCTAATAAAGTAATAATGATTAATTGAGTACCTATACAAACATGTACGGGACACTGTAAACACTGAGTAAATAGTTATATTTTTCTTTTTTGTATAACTTTTCTGCTTATAATATACATAATTTATTCTATGAATATTTAATATTATTAGGTAAAAACATTATTATATAAATTATTAATTACTTATGATATTTGTTATTTATAAATAATCTTTAGTGTATCCGATTGTAAGATAATAACTTTTTTTACAAGTTTAATTTTTACAAAATAAAATATATTTTAAATCTTTGGTTTTAAGGAAAAACCTCACATTACGTTAACTTTTAAGTTATTGGATATCGAGGAAAAAAATTGAGCTCGTTAATTTAAGATTTACAAGTATCCAACTCTTACTTTTTAAGTCTGTAATGCCCAGTCTTGAACATTCAACGCAGTAAACTCTCCATTATTCTCGGTCTTTCGCGGTACTATGTTTACTGTAGGCACATGTACAGTAGGTACTAAAAATAGTGTTCATTGTGTAATTTATGAGACCGTGTTCCACATAATGTTATATATATATTATATAAAAATACAACGTGTACAACACGCTTTCTAAATATTATACATTTTTTTTTCAAAAACATTTATACTTTTTTGAAATAATAATAGTTCCAATGATAGAAGATTCTCGGTGCGGTACCATAAATCTTGACATTTAGGAAATGATGACAATTTTTTATAACGGAAGAAAATAATTATTTTATTGCATATCTTATGTTATCATTTCCTAAATAACAAAAATAAAATAATCAATTTTTGCAAATTTGGGTAAAATTCTTGTTCTTCTCTAATGTATTGATTTCCCAATTATTTTCAAAATTATCAGAACATTTAATTTTGAGAAAAAAATGTTACTGTTTAAAAATTGCATTCTTCTATTTTTTAAGGCGCCCGGTGTTAATATAATTTTTTCCACAAAAATACGCTGTGTAGGAAGTGATCGTGTCTTGCATAATCTATAAAAATTGATGATTATTTTTTAACTAATTATATAAACTATATAGAGGGTAGAATATTTGTACGGGCTGAATTGAATTCCGTTTTTCAATATTTTTGTCTCAAACTTAATAATATGTTTTTTAAAATGAGACAATTAAAAACTTTTTTTACAAATTATTTTTATACCATTATTTGAATTGAAATAAAAAATCTGGGTCAATATGGCCTAGGGAGCCGTTTAATAGGCCAGTAAGTAGTCTTATTCTATCAGATAAAAAAAAGTTTTACAATTTTACAATTTTTCCTGCGGAGAGAATTTTTGAGGAAAAATTACATTATTGGGTACATTAAAAAAAATATTGTTTTTGATATAATACACGAATACACCACATAAACCCCACCACCCCAAAATAAATATCGGACTGTAGATTAGAGGAAAAGTATTATATACTAAATATAACTAATAATAATTGAGGTGGCAACTAAAATTTAAAATATAATTTTCAAATCGTATTGAATTGTGGAAAATTTGTAAAACCGGCTCTGGGCCCCTTAGGCATATTTTTAATATTCTAGATATCGATAAACGTACGGCTATGGGAAGGTAATTATAACAATTAGAGGGGTTGCTTGATTTATACATTGGAACAACTATACATTTAAACATTTTTTAAAACAAGACGGATATACACCCGAAGGACAATAATAACGAACTTAACCTAAGATTAATAATAATATTAATTTAATGCTTTTGGCAGAATAAATGGTGTGGTATAATTAGCTGTTTGATTTAGAATTTTAGTGTTAGAGTAAAGCGTTTCCTAACCTTTTTCCCTAGCGGCACATTAATCTCAACCCATATTTAGCCGAAGAACACTTGTCATTGACTTATGCATATTTTTTTATAGTAGGCTTTCATCATATTAATTATTAATACCTAAGTAGTTGTATATCAGTATATTACTAGCAAACAATCTAAA